GGAGGGGTGTTACAGAACAAAGCCCAAACAAAGCCGCGAGTGGTGATGCAGCTGCAATCCGCCGGTTACCGTCGCCTCGAACACAGCCCGCCTCAGTGATCCATCGCCGAGATCTTTAAATTTGAAGGCCTTGTTCTAACCATTAGAATCGATTAAAAACAATGAAAAAACAAAACATAGAATGAAAAAAAAAGAATGAAGAAGAAGAAGTAAAAATTAAAAGAGTAAAGAAGATAATTGAAGAAGAGATGAATTGTGAACGGTTTTCTCAGTAGAACTTATCATCAAAAGGCGTGTTCAATATATAAAAAAACTGACCAAAAAAATAAATTAAAAAAGGGCAATAAATGGGCTAAAAAACAAAAGGAGTAATTTTGACTTAATATTAAACAGAGGGAATAACATAAACAATTTTTTATAAAGGATAAGCAGTGTACTTATTTCGGCAAATAACATATTAAATCCAGCAAAATAATAATAAGTCATAACATATAACACAACATAAGTCCAGAAAAAACAAATAAAAAATAACATAAGTCTAGCAATATCCATAACATAAGCACTCAAGTCAACAACAAAAAAAAAAAAAAAAAAAAAAAAAAAAAAAAAAAAAAAAAACAAAAAAAAAAAAAAAAAAAAAAAAAAAAAAAAAAAAAAAAAAAAAAAAAAAAAAAAAAAAAAAAAAACCTTGCATTCACCCAAAACAACAACAACCGACTCAAAACTCAGCCCTCAGCTCAGTGAAACAGTGCATTCCTTCATACTTCAGTGCCCTGCATTAAAATCAGCAAACAAACAAGGTAAATAGAACAGAAATACATAAAAATACCCTCAATAGTCAAAACATAGCAACACCAAATTAGCACCACAAAAAAATATATAGAGTTCATAAAAATAAACAAAAAAGTAAAACAAAAACCTTGCATTCTTATTCATCCATTATGTTCTCATTGTCATTGACATCGTTAATCCCAACACCTTGCAAAGATATTATTATAGAAAATAAATTAAAAAATTTAGACAAGTAATATATAACACAATTAATGTTAAATTAGAACACATTACATTAGAGTACCTTCTTCTATTTTTTCAATGTCTTCTAGGCTCTCTTCAAGGGACTTGGTCCACTTGGACTTCTTTTTTCTCAACCAATCTTGAGCATATATAAGAGCCTCCACAATTTTAGGAGTTAAGAACTCCTAGAACCATCAAGAACATGACCGTCAGTGCTAAAAGCGGACTCCGATGCCACGGTAGAGACGAGAATCGCCAATACATCCCGTGCAAAACAAGAGAGGATGGGAAATTTACTTTGGTTGAGTTTTCACCTCATCAAAATGTCAAAATCATCTTTCTCGACAACAAGAACACTCTCTTTCAAGTAAACATCCAAGTCACACTTACTTTCTACTTCTCCACTCTCTATCTTGTGCCTTTTGAACTTATCCCCCAATTGATATCTTGATTTATTCTTTGAAAGATCGGGATGAGAAGATTCATTTAAACTTGAAACTCGATTCATCGATTGTGTGGACGTGGCACAATGAGGTTGATAAATCAACTTATAAGCTTCAAACAAATCGTGAACACTCCCCTTCACACTCTTGAAGATATCTGAACCGTTCTTTTCTCCGTGCTCTTCACAAAGTGTGTACTCAAGGAACTCCAACTTGTAGCGAGGGTCAACAAAAACCGCCACACAAATAAGATGGTTCATATTTTTTGGATCCCCCCAATATTTATTGTATTATGATTTCATTTTTTCACCCATTTCTTTTATATCAAGATCATAGCTAGCAATCCATTCTCTTAACAAGCAATTTACCGAACTAATTTCATGATAAAATTCATTCGAGGTGACCTAAGATGTGCCCAAAATTTTCAATGTTAGTTCGTAGAAGTAGGATAAAATATCAACCATCCTTCTAGCATGTTCCCAATCAACAATTGACGGTGGTCCATGCTTGAGCTAAAGTAAGGATATTTTATTTCATACCTCTCAAATGCCCTCTCAAACTTTTTTGCAACATTTAACATCAAGTAAGTGGAGTTTCACCTACTGCTCACATATAAGCATAACAAGCTTTTACTTACAATACCTTCATCATCACAACATTCTCGAAATTTTGCCAATCTAGCCGGAGATTGTTTCACAAATCGAACATGACGAATCTTCTTAATGGAATACATGATTTCATTTATACCGTCCACTACTACCAAATTGATAATTTGAGCAATGCACGTCATATGAAGAAACTTGCCTTTCACAAAAGCACAACCCCGAGAAGTCAATCTACTTTTCAAATATGTAAGACAAGTATCATTAGAAGATGTATTATCAATGGTAATAGAAAACACCTTTGAGATTCCCCAATCACGCAAACAACCATCTATTTTGTCTTCCTAAATCCTCACCCTTGTGACTCTCAATAGGACAAAAGTTGACGATCTTTTTATTTATGTTCCATTCTTCATCAATGAAGTGGGCAGTGATACACATATAGTTAATCTTTTGCACGGAAGTCTAAGAATCGTTGGTAAGAGAAATAGTTTTTCCAGACCTTTTGAAGTAAGTTCTTAATTTGAACTTCTCATCTAGGTATAACTGATAACAATCTCATGATACAATCAACCGAAATGGAAGTTCATCAACAATGATCATTCTAGCTAGTTGTGACCTAATGCTTCTTGATCAAATTTCCAACTAATTAAACCTCGTGTCATTTCACCATCCTCAACTATTGATTGCAAAACCAATTTCGATCGTTTTTTCTCGGTCACATTCGGAATAGCTTTACAAGTAGACATATGGTGAAGAAGTGAAGACGCACCATTCCTTCGAGTATCACATTTGTACAGTTTTTTTGCAATATTTGCATTCTGCTCTGGATATAACTATGGACCTTCTTGAATTACCACCGTCCCCTGCAATCTCGGTACCAGTAGTAGCAGCAACTGCATCACTTGAACTCTCTAGACGGCTCCTCTTTAATTTTGAGGTCTGAGTCTGACTTGCAGCAGATTCATCATTCGTGGATGGTGGACCTCATGTCGGTGAATCTTCCTCCATCTCTTCAACAACAAAGTTCTAAACAAAAAGAAACCGCGGTAAGTAATATGTATATCGCATTTTCACTAACAATATTATAAAAAAAAAAAAAATCAAAATTGGGGTTGAAATTAGGGCAAAAAATTAACTGTTTCAAGATTGAAGATTTTCAAACCAAATGATTGATTTTCGGATGCAATACAACAATACCCTCAACAAAGACTGAAAAAATATGACGAACTGAAAAAAAAAATAAAGAAGACTGAACTAAATTGACGAGCGAACGCTGGACGACCGTAGGGTGAGAGACTTAGATCGTGGTTGAGAGCGCCGGTGGGTGAGCGTGGTTGAGAGCCCCGGAAGATCGATGTTGATTGGTGAACTTGAGAGATTGAAGACAAGAGTTGAGAATAACTTGTTGATATCCGAATCGGATCGGTCTGGAGTTACCGGTTCGGCCATAAAGAAAATCGGGACCGAGCCGCACGCTGGGAGCGGGTGCCAGGTAGATCCAAGGCGGAGGTTGACAAGGACGGGGCCACGGATAATTCACGACCCCGGCACTTATCGGACCCCGACGAGGTGCCGACCAGACCAATGGATCCCTAAGACTACCAAGAGGCACTATTGTTCTGGTGCCGACCCGAGCTGTTGGGAAAAGCGGGCCGAAAGCTGGAGTCGAGCACAGAAACAATATATTAGTGCCACTTGGTTGCCATGATTGAACGATGTGACAAGCCGGCCTAACCTATTGGCCTAGGAGGATCTAGCCTGGACAATGAGCCGACAACATTTAATGCCCACATGGGGTGCATTAAATGCCCAGCCAAAAATGATTAAGGAATTTCAAGTCACATTAAATGCACCTGTCAGAAATGCGCCGATCAGGGCCGAAGGAGCACTGTACGACTAGACAGTGAACAGTGCCAGAACAGTGATATTAAATGAGGCTATAAATAGGACATTTCCACATTTACTTGGGGGTTGTTAAATCCACAACTAACTAACTAGCAACTTATTTTTCTCTATAAGAATTGCAATAAATCCCTTGTAAGGATTGTAAGTATATCACAAGTGTCGACCTCGTACGAGAGGCCGACCGAGTGATCTTTTAATAAAATCATAAGTAAACCGTATCCCTGCTTCATTTTCTACTCGTTACCTCCATTACATGTTATTTTAACCGTTGATCAGACTCGTCCGTCAACATGACTGAGTGAGAGTTGAGAGAAGTTGAGAACGCGACTGAGACTGAGAAGAGTGAAAACTGAAAGTGAAAAGTGCAAATTTGGTTTTAGGTTAAATGTAAATTGTTTCGGTGCGGTCTGTCTGTATGTAATGTAATAAATGAGTAAATGACCCTATGTTCGGTGCGGTTCTGTTAAAACCGCATCCATCGGACAGAAAGCCGAACTGCACCGAATTTTTTTCAGTTTTCTAAAAATTAAATCGAACCGTAACCGAACTCTATAAGAACCGCACCAAATTCACCGGTTCGGTGCGGTTTTTTGGTTTCAGTTCAGTTTTGCTCCCCTAAATTTATTCTTTAAAAAAAACACAAAGAGGTGGATGTGGCTCGCAATTGTAGTTAATCTTATACAAGAACTTAAAAAAAAAAAAAAAAAAAATGAAAACCAATGTAGCAGTGCAATTATTTTAGAATATCCTTTCAGCCGCAAGCAAAGTCACATGTGTAGTCAAGTTAACCAAAGCATGTGGTCACTTGCATGTAAGAGTACCCTTTTTTCTCATCCCCACTCCAAATATTATATATATATACTCACACACACACACACCACACAGACCCTCATTCTTCTCTCTCTCCATCTCACACTTCACTCTGCCCTCTTTCTCTCTACTTTCTCTATCTCCGCAAATTCTCTCTCTTCCGTTTTGTCAGCCAAAGCGTATCACCAAACATTAGCACTTCACTGCAATCCCAACAGAAGAGAGAGAGAGAGCTGTATTGCTCCCACTTTTGTGTCAGTAACAGTAACAAAATGATTAGCTGGCACGATCTATACGTGGTCCTGACCGCCGTGATTCCCCTGTACGTGGCGATGATTCTGGCGTACGGCTCCGTCCGGTGGTGGAAGATATTCACCCCCGACCAGTGCTCAGGCATCAACCGCTTCGTGGCCGTCTTCGCCGTTCCACTCCTCTCCTTCCACTTCATCTCCACCAACGACCCCTACGCCATGAACTTCCGCTTCATCGCCGCCGATACTCTCCAGAAGGTAATCATGCTTGCCGCCCTCGCCGTGTGGACTTCCCTCTCACGCAACGGCAGCCTCGAGTGGTCCATCACCATCTTCTCCCTCTCCACCCTCCCCAACACCCTCGTCATGGGCATCCCCCTCCTCATCGCCATGTACGGCGAATACTCCGGCAGCCTCATGGTCCAGATCGTCGTCCTCCAGTGCATCATCTGGTACACCCTTCTCCTCTTCCTCTTCGAGTACCGCGGCGCCAAGACCCTCATCATGGACCAGTTCCCCGACACCGCCGCCTCCATCGTCTCCTTCAAGGTCGACTCCGACGTCGTCTCCCTCGACGGCCAGGATTTCCTAGAGACCGACGCCCAGATCGGCGGCGACGGCAAGCTCCACGTCACCGTCAGGAAGTCCAGCGCCTCCAGGATGTCCTTCTCCGGCGTCACCCCGCGGCCCTCGAATCTGACCGGGGCAGAGATCTACAGCCTCAGCTCCTCCAGAAACCCCACGCCGAGGGGCTCCAATTTCAACCACTCCGATTTCTACTCGATGATGGGGTTTGGGGGCCGGCTGTCCAATTTCGGGAACTCCGACACCGGCAGGCTCTCCAATTTCAACGTCGCCGATATGTGCTCGGTGCAGTCTTCCCGGGGGCCCACGCCGAGGCCGTCCAACTTCGAGGAGAACTGCGCGCCGGGAGGGACGATGAGCTCGCCGAGATTCGGCCACTACCCGGCGGCGCAGCCGGCGCCGGGCTCTTACCCTGCCCCGAATCCCGAAATAGCTTCCGCCATGCCCAACACCGCCAAAGAGCTTCATATGTTCGTCTGGAGCTCGAGCGCGTCGCCGGTGTCCGAGGTCGGCAGGGGAGGGGGCGGCGGCGGCGGCGCCGCCATCGGCAGCGGACTGCACGTGTTCGGCGAGCAGTCGGGTAGGTCCGACCAGCGTGCCAAGGAGATCCGGTTGTTGGTTAGCGATCATCATTCCCAAAATGGGGAGGGCAAAGGTGGAATTAAATTTCTGTTCGTTGAAGCATTTTTTTTTAATTTTATTTTATCCTTTTTCTGTATTGTGTGGTCGCAAAGTGTTTGTTTGTTTGCTTGACAGTAATTTTTTTTTTTTTTCTCTTTTCTATTTTAAATAAATAAATTAATGAAGCTGGTCCGCAAAACGGGGACTTTGTTAAGGAGAAGTTAGGCTTTGGCGGTGCAGGTGACGAGAGAGGAAAGGAAGGGACAACGTCGGAGCTCGACCCAAAGGCGGCTGCCGCCGCTGGTGGTGGCCGCGCCGGAAAGAATATGCCGCCTGCTAGCGTCGTCACTCGCCTCATCCTTATCATGGTCTGGCGTAAGCTCATCAGAAACCCCAACACGTACTCCAGCCTCATCGGCCTCATCTGGTCTTTAGTCTCCTTCAGGTAAAATCAACTAAGAACTTGATTAACAAAAAAAAATCAAAAAATTATATTTTTAGTTAATTAACTATATTCGGTTACGAAATTATTTCTGATTGATAATTATTTTTATTTATTTATTTATTTATTTATTTATTTTTCTCTCAGATGGCATGTACATATGCCCAAAATCATAGAGCAGTCAATCTCTATCCTTTCTGACGCAGGTCTGGGAATGGCTATGTTCAGCTTAGGTTAGTTTTCCATGCTTGTTATATTTAGGATTGGTCCTCTTAATTTAGTAATTTAATTTGCACTGCCAAAAAAAATAAAATCTTTAAATTCTGACAGCCCAAAAAAAGGGGCCCCCTTTTTAGCATATGTCTCCATGTGGTCATGGGATGAAAATGGGTAAGGTTTTTTTTTCATTGAAGTTTCGATTTCGATAAGTTTGATTGAATTCGGGCTTCGGTTATTGATCGATCGACAGGTTTGTTCATGGCCCTTCAACCGAAGATAATTGCGTGCGGGAACACGGTGGCTACATTTGCCATGGCCGTTCGATTCTTGACAGGTCCGGCTGTAATGGCGGCGGCTTCCATTGCCGTAGGCCTCCGGGGGACCCTCCTCCATATAGCGATTGTGCAGGTAAAGTGTTGGTTCGGACTATGTTGTAATTATAAAACTACCCCTTATAATGAGTTTAACACTGTATACAGATTTGAGTATACATCTGCTTGCATTTAAATTGCTTATTCAAGATTGTCTGTTTAATTTGAATAGGCTGCCCTTCCACAAGGAATTGTCCCATTTGTGTTTGCTAAAGAGTACAATGTCCATCCAGCAATACTCAGCACTGCGTATGTGAAAAAAAATCGATCTCATTCTAAATTGAAAATCTGGTTTTTTTTTTCTTTACACTAATAAAAAGATTAATTCTTTCTCGAATATTGCGAATTTCAGGGTCATATTCGGAATGTTGATCGCGCTGCCGATCACTCTGGTCTATTACATTCTTCTTGGACTGTAGAATCTTTTGCTCTTTTTTTCAGCTCGGCTCAAGAAACCGAAACGTAATAGTCGAAAGGGAAGCAAATAAGGAAAAATTTCAACTACACGGTGCATATGTTTGTTAAACAAAGTCTTCGATTGGGGGTCGACAAAAATCTTACACTCGTGGGCAACGGTTGATCTTGTGACACGACAAAGTCAAGCTAAAGTCGAAAAATTTTGCGCTTAATTTCTTTAGCCATGGGTTTTTGACCTGTGATTATCATTATCCCCCTGATTTTGAGGTTTTATGCCCCTAACTACACAACAAAAAATATATTGCCATGGAGGAAATTTTTGTTAAGTTTTAATATAATATAGCCCGATGTGGGAGAGGGACAAATCACAGAGGAAAAAACAGGGGAAAGCGTATAATTAAGTGTCACAAGTCAAATGATTCTCCCACAATCATCTGCCCAAAGTAGACCAAAGTGATTAATTAGGCTTTAATTAATTGTGTTTTTTTTAATTATTTATGTCATATTATTATATAACTTGTCTTGTAGATGAGAAAAAAATAGTTGTTTTTTTTATTATTATTATTATTGTTTTACATTTTTTCTTCATTGTGTTTGTTTCTCACTCGTGATATGATCATTAGTTTTGGTGGTTGTGTCTTTGGATTCGTCTGTCTTTTACTTAAATTTGTGTCAAGTAAAATCTATTTTTCTTTGCTTTTTATAATTGGATGGATCTGTCCTTTTTTGTGTAATGTTTTCTAATTTGGTATTCATTTTCCACATTGCATTGATCTTATTCATGTGTGTATTTAGAGGTATCATTAATTATATATGTGACATTGGTAGGTTATCAATAATTCTAACAAAATCAACTCACATGTGACAATTTGTACTATTCAAATAACTAAAATTTATTTTTCGTGTGAGACGACCTAATGTTTAAGACGATCGACGTGTCATATTATGTGAACTGAATTAAATGTATACTTATTGTCAAATATCATACTTACATGTATGTTAGTTTTTTAAGAAAACCAGTAGGTAGCCCGTGCGATGTATAGAACAATAATTATAAATCGCATGTATTAAAGTAATGAAAAGTTATGTATTATTATAGAAATAGTCTTGAATATTAATATTATTTTTTTATGTTATGATATATAATAATGTAATATATGATTCATAGGTTTATTTTAATTTTTAAAAAAGTTATGCTAAAGTTTAAAAATTGTAGGAAATACTATATTCAACACTTAATTGAAAAGACTGTAATATCTATTGTTTTGAATTTATTAATTTCTAATTATGTCAATATTGATTTATTTTTTCTTACAGTTATTATAATACATCTTATATATGTTTTGAATTTTCTTTCTAATCCTCCCTATATATAATTCATGAATGCGCTGAGCCTACGTGGCTGCTTTTGGTGCTTCAGAATCCTATTTGGCGAAGAATCATGCTTCGTAATTAGGTTTGGATAAATAATATTGATATATTAATAATTAATAATCTAGGTTCGGATATTCCATAAATATTATTTAGCTAACTTAGGTATTTTAATATCACTTTTACTAATATAACCCTTTAATTCTTTGTAATTTTACATAGTGAGCCACTAAGTGACTAATATGTCCCTGAATTTTGATTTGTTTCCTTCAATAAGCTATTGAATTATAAATGTATTTTAAAAGTTGATAACTTTTGTATTTCTTATCGGTTTTACATATATAACTAGTACAATACTCGTGTATTACACGGGTGCTTGTTAAAAAATTATTCTTAAATTTTAAAATTAATGAGAAAATTATATTAAATTTAGTTTATTTTTTTACAAAAAAAAAAGAATATATTACTATATATTTTAGAATGATATGTGTTACTTATGACTTACATGTGTTATATTATATTAGTTTTTATAACTTATATCATATAACTACTTGATGATAAATAATTTTATTGTTCTAATTAATATTAAAAATAATTTTATTATTGTTATAAAGATGAATATAAATTATTTTTTTATACATACAATATGGATGTTAAATCGAAGCTTATCAAAAGAAGATTAATTTGATATATTACATATGTAAAATTGATAAAAAATACAAAAGTTATTAACTTTTAAAATATATATACAATTCAATAGTTATAATAAGGAATGATATTAAAATACAATTAATACATGTAAATGACCATAAATAATCAACATATTTATGGTAATCCGAACCTAATTATTTTTGGTTTGGAATTAAATTAAAATTTACCCAAGCCTAATAACGAAGCATGTAATTTTGCCACATAGGATTCTGAAGCACCAGAAGCAGCCACGTAGGCTCAGCGCATTCTGTATTAATATATAGGGGGGATATATCAAATTAATCATCTTTTGATGATATTCAATTTGACATCCATATTGTATATATGAAATAAATAAATTATATTTATCTTTTTAATAATAAAAAATAATAATATTTATTAAAATTCATTAGAAAAATAAAATTATTTCTCCATTGATATATTTATATGTAATGTAGTTATATATTGTAAGTTAAAAAAATTAGTATAATATAACACAAGTAAGTTGCACAAATAAAAAGTGTCATAATAAATATATAATAATATATATTCTTATAAAAGGTATTTAAATTTTCAAACTACTTTTTCTCATTAATTTTAGATTTTAAGAAAAAAAAATTAGCAAGCACCCGTGTAATACACGGGTGTTGTACTAGTTTACTAATACACTAGTACAACACCCGTGTATTACACGGGTGCTTGCTAATTTTTTTCTTAAAATCTAAAATTAATGAGAAAAAGTAGTTGGAATTTTAAATATATTTTACAAAAACATATATATATATATATTATTATATATTTAGTATGACACTTTTTATTTGTGCGACTTATCTGTGTCATATTATAATAATTTTTTAACTTACAACATATTACTACATTAAAAATAAATATATCAATTGATAAATAATTTTACTTTTCTAATGAATTTTAATAAATATTATTATTCTTTATTATTATAAAAATAAATATAATTTATTTATTTCATATATACAATATGGATGTCAAATCGAAGATCATCAAAAGATAATTAATTTGATATATAATATATGTAAAACCGATAAGAAATACAAAAGTTATCAACTTTTAAAATACATTTACAATTAAATAGCTAATTGAATGAAACAAATCAAAGTCAGGGATATATTAGTAACTTAGTGCCTCACTATATAAAATTACAAATAATTAAAGGGTTATATTAGTACAAGTGATATTAAAATACCTAAGTTAGATAAATAATATTTATGGAATGTCCGAACCTAGATTATTAATTATTAATATATCAATATTATTTGTCCAAACCTAATTACGAAGCATGATTCTTCGCCAAGTAGGATTACAAAGCACCAGAATCAACCACGTAGGCTCAGCGCATTCGGGAATTATATATAGGGAGGGATATGAGTTTTGTCATGATATAGTGAATGGCAATATGAACGTTTAAGAAACTGGTTTGGTGCAATTATTGTTAAAAACAAAGGATAATTTTGAAATCCTTGAACATGTAATTTTTTGGTATATGACTCGTTACCAAATGAATTTAAAATCAAATGAATTTGTTATTAATTTCGAGATGTCAATATTTTTGCAATTGATTTATAAATTTATTTTGTACTTATAATTCATAATGTTCTCACGCATATTTAGGTCTACATATGGCTGGATGTCCAACAAAATAGTAGAACGCATGATTTATTAGTAAGGATAGATATTAGTTTTTTTACTAATGGTAAATATTTAAATTTCTTTTGATTGTGCAAAATTGCATTTACAATTTCTGACAAACCAAATTAGTTGAGTTATAGATAAATCAAAGTATTATAAACTAATCCTTAATAATTTTTTTTTGAAGATACGATAAAAAATAAGTTGGTATATGGTTGGTTACAAAAAGAATAAGAAATCGTTGTAATTTGTTATTAATATTAATAAATAAGGTTTTATTGTAACATTGCAATAAATATCATAATAAATTTTGTCATTAATATGAAGAAAATAAGATTTTTATTGAGATAATTATCTCAAAAACGATTTTTAAAATTGATACCACTTCTTTTATAAATATTTTTACTATATTTTCTTTAATAGTAAGTCAACATATTTCATTATAGAGACAAAGTTACTATTTCATATTATTCCATAAATCTGTTTCAATATATATAGGTTTGTCATTATTTAATAAATTTATGCATATTTATGAGAAAAGTATGTTTAACTAACTAGTGCGTATCCGTGTGATTCACGGACGGATTTGTTGCTTAAAACTTTATTTAACACTTCATTTTAAACATAATTATTTATATCTAACATTTCATTATTGCAAGAAAAGATATACAAAATATGAAATTTTATATATTTTTTATTTAAATAGAAGGAGTACTACAACCACACTAATAGCATCTGACATATTATATGATAAATTAATTATATGAATCGTCATGCTTTTTAAAAATATATATATTTAATAAATATGAGATATTTAAGATTCACATTAAAATTTTAAATTTAGATATGAGATGAAAAATAACGAACATATTTGAAAAGTGTAAAGTCGTATTATTTCCGTGTTGGATTCAACTTTATTAACTGATTGATTTTTTTTTTTTTTTTTTTTTTTNNTTTTTTGAGTTGATGCCATAATATGAAATTATTATATACCATAATTTAATTGATATAAATACGAAAATGAATCCATCTGTATAAAAGTGCACGAAGAAGTTAATACCCTGATGTATTGATAATAATAATTAATTAAAAATATAGAGTCAATATGTGATATATCAATATGTTAATTTGTTGAAAATCTCTTATGAAAGATAAATTTTAAAAAAACATCGTAAAACATGTCTATATAAAATATTAACATTATCTAAAATGTTATATAACATGTGTAAAAATATGTAAAATATATAACATGTGTAAAATATTTAAACTATATTATTCT